TTATGTAGGTCAATAAAATTTGGCTGATCTTTGGCAAATAAAATTTTATGGCCGATTTTAAAATAAAATCCAGACCGGAAGTGATACTTTGGCCGCCATATTTAAAAAACACACTTTTGTAAAACTCAAAATGGGGCCTCAGGGTAAAAGTTGATATGCTCAAATTTGATGTGAATGTATTCTGCAATCGATTGCGCAAAAACATTGGGAGCCGAATTTTGAATTTCGCTTTTGCTTTTTTGCAACTTCCGGTTGAAATTTTTTAAAGCTTTAAACGATCATACCATGTGACCTAGACTTTTGATGACCTTGACCTTCATAGGGTCAAAGGTCATTGACCTTGGCTATCATTTGATACTTTGACCTTTGACCTCCGACATGTACTTCCGGTTTTATAGCTATCCGTAAAAAGCCAAATTCGCAACTTTGGACTGCTCTAGCACGTGACCTAATTAACCTACAGGGTTAATTTTTTCAGTTTCCTAATGTGCTTCTCATGCACTTTACATAGATATATAACAATCGTTATTTTAAAGCAAATTGAAATTCGGGATTTTTTCAAATTTGAGTTTTTTTTTTTACAATATTTGCGTCTTTTTGAGCTTGGTATATGTATATCTTATTGTGGGACTTTGCTTTCAGCAAAGTCCCAGTTTGTTATCGAAATGTCCATTCTTTTTGGAAAATCTTATTCAGCAATTCAGTTTGTTATCGAAATGTCCATCCTTTTTTATTTTTTTTTTTTTTTCGATTTTTCCACACCTTTTTTTTAAGCAAAGGCTGCAACAGCTGCAGCAACATTTTTACATTTGTAGACCTTCTGTAGTGGCAAGGTTGGTAATGAATATAAACTGGAACATTTTTGCAAGACCGGAAGTACTACAGCTCAACATGTGCAAAAAGTGAATAATCGGCTCTAAAAATGGCATTTTTGGGTCGATTTTCTTCGGGTTTTCATTTCTCGAATCTACCTGTAATTCCTGATATGATAGCTCTTAAAAAAATTCGAAAATCGAATATTTGTCGCACACATTTTTCGGCCAAATTTTGCAATTTTTGACCCAAAAAAAAAACTTTTTCACTTTTTGCCTGATAAATCTAAAAAAAATTGAGCAAAGACAGTTTAAGAATGTGAACAAAATTGTATAGTCAAATTTTTTACTTTACTTCCGGTTTAAACGGGAAATCGATTCTCACTTCCGGTTGAACTACTTCCGGTGTAATTAATTTAGCGCGACGAAACTTATATGAATCGATAGCCAAAGTTAAGACAAAAAAACGAAGAAGATAAAATCCAGACCGAATGTGATAGTTTGGTTGCCATTTTGATTTTTCTCAAATGCGTCAGAATCTATTCAGAGATAACGGCTTATCCGATTTTGTTGATTTTGGTGTCAAATGAAAGAAAATTAAAATTAAAAAAAAACTGTGGGAGCCGATTTTTGAATTTCGCTTTTGCTTTTTTGCAATTTCCGATTGAATTTTTTTGAAGTTTGAAGGCTCATATCTCATGACCTTGACCGTTGATGACCTTGACCTTTATTGGGTCAAAGGTCATTGACCTTGGCTATCAACTGATACTTTCATATTCGACTTCTGACATCTACTTCCGGTTGTATGGCTGTCTGAAAACAGCCAAATTCGCAACTTTGGACTGCTCTAGCACGTGCCCTAATTAACCTAGAGGGTTAATTTTTTCAGATTCTTAATGTGCTCTTCATACTCTTTCTAACGATATATAACATAAGTTTTTTAAAGCAAAATTGAAATTCGTACTTTTTTTAAATTTGAGTGTTTTTTTACAATGTTTGTGTCTCTTTGAGCTTGGTGTATATATATCTTATGACATATTTGATGTGGAACCTTGATATTTGGAATACAACTAGCCACTTTGAATATGAATTCACCTATGACAAACAAATTGGGGTGGGCACATCCGGGTTGAATCACTAATTGTTTACATTTTGGGGCTGGGGCATAACTCGCATAGGATGCGTGGCCTTTTGGCCAGTATGTATTAACAGCTCAGTTGTTTCAGCTTTATAGTTCCAAAAAAGGAACGGGTTTTAACATTTGGATATTTTCATTTTTCGATTTTGACCTTTTTTGACTTTTGTTGACCTATATCTTTTGACCTCTATTATGTAGGAACTTGACATTTGGAACATAACGTAACATTTTGAATATTGATTAACTTATTCAAAAAAAATTGAGTTGGGCGTGGCACTTCCGGGTTGAATTACTCATTATTGACATTTTTGGCCAGGGGTATAACTCACAACGTATACATTTGTTCAAAATGGAACTTTTTACACAATTACCTCATATTTTGAGCCACTTTGTCTTAGAATTTTGGTTGTTTCCGCTTCATAGTTCAAAAAAAGGAACAGGTTTTGGAATTTCAAATTTTCAATTTTTGACCTTGACCTTTGTTGACCTTGACCTTTGTAGGATCAAATGTCATTGGCATTGGCTATCTATTTATACTTTTATATTTGCTGTCCTAAGTCAACTTCTGGTTTTATAGTCGTGTGCAATTAGAAATTTTGATGACGTATATCTCTTGATCTTGACCATTTTAGGCCTTCTCCTTTACAAGATCAAAGGTCATTAACCTTGGCTATCTGCTGATACTTTCATTTGTGAGGTCTGATGTCTACTTCCGGTATTAGAATCTTCTAAAAAATAAAAAATTATCAACTTTAACTTGTTCTTGCCCTTGACCTAATTATCGTCGATGGTTGATTTTTTCGGCGTCTTTAGCATATTGCTACATTTGCAAAGTCCCACTCTGTGCCACGAGTGGCTCTAGTTAGGTATCATTGATTTGACACATCATGACATGTTAATTTATTCAAAATTTATAATCAGAAGCTTCAGGTCATCCCTTTTAAACTAGAGTTATCAGTTTTTACCTTTTGAAATTTAAACCTAACATTATCCATCAAAATACACATTCAGACTGCAAAAAAAAGGGTTTCATGATTCAACTGATTTAAATGGACATGCCTAAAGCAGAGTTGTTAAATAAGAACACTCATGCAAGCTTCCTTTACCATTCCCTAGTTACTGAAGTGTTCATACTCATACACTTCAAATCTAGTTTTATAAACTTAATCCCCATAACTTTGACTAGCTTTCCTGATGAGTAATGGAAACATCATGAGATGAGCTCAAGTCAACTACTTATCTATGACTTGATGAACAGAGCATTTTCTAATCAGAACAGAGCATTATCAAAGTTCAGTCGACTCATGATGTTCTCTTCCAATTCTTAACATATCTATTGATTTTCAATCTGAGCCACCCTATTATATGTATATTTGAATTGTGATATTTGACAAGTTGGGTGAAACCTGGTAATTTGCCACTTGTACAGGGTTGTTATCTATAATGGTTTTATTCCACCTGTAAAACTACATTATAAACATTGAAGTAGTGTTTATAACAGAACATAGAACAGATTCAATGACATATCTTTGGATGATTTATGCCTTATGTTATACTATGTTTTTGGGTTATGATTGCCAGATTTTCCTTACAGCATTAGCATTATGATCAAAGTTCAATGTAAATATACAAAGCTCCATTTTGAAATTGGTATTAAAACTCTTGAGTTAAATCTTTGAATTAGATATGTTAAACATTTCTGAACGACTATTTCTTTCTGAAATAAAAAAAAAGAAATTTCCACAATAAGGTTATATCATATAGATTATACTAAAAAATAGCTGTAGTGCTTCAAGGTCTTCCAAGACAGGTAAAAACAGTTGGGTCATTGAATTGTTGAGATACATATACACTATAGTAAGAGGATACAAGGTAAAATAATCAACAATCCTGGATATACAATACAATACAAAATACCAAGACAATATTATAATGTGAACTAGAGCATTCACTAGTTTTAATTTAAAATACACATTACATTATAGTCAACTACTACTCAGAGTAGTTAATAACCAGATCCGTTTCTACATACCATAGTTTTCACTAATTTCTATGCATGACAAAGTGAACTTTGGTTTTATAACCATTGCTAAAGGCTTGCATTTTTTGAATGCACAAGGTAATGTACTATTTAGGTCAATTACAAATTGATATTACAAGAGGAAGGTCAACCAAAATATGAACATCTTAGATATATGTACCGATGTATTCATGTTTGTCTAATTCTATATTTCTATTTCTATTAAAGTAGTAGTATATTCTATTGCATGTATGGTTTTTCGCTAGTAGATTTTGAAAATTGAACAGAAAATGTGTAATTCTGCTCACCAAACCCATTGTTGCATGACATTAGTGATTGTTTCTATGGACCTTTGTGAAATTGAAATTGAAAATATAGAATTAGACATTACAATACCTTAAGCTTTATTTTACCAGAAACAACTTGTCTACATAATAACTTTTAGAAACTGTATTATTATGAATATGATTTTTGAATACTTCTGTCAGTTAAGCATTCAATTGACAAAAATTAATAATGCAAGGTTGAAGTTCCCCTGCCACAGACATGGGGAACTAGCTGAGCTATTTCCCTTGTCTGCGCTTAATTTTTAGTGAGATTTCTACCTCAATAGGCTGTGAAGAAATTATCTATCCTGTTTGAGAGCTAGAAAAATCCCCACTTTTTATGGAATGAGAGGTATTGTCAAGTATCGGAATACACAACCTCGCGATACAATACGCTTATTGTGGCATGTCGTATTGCGATACAATGATTGACAGATATATCGTGCCAGCACTATACCAGTATGAAATTCTTAATTCAGTGGAATTCCAAAACGGGAAATGAGGCCATATTGATCAGTCACATGATAGTGAACGCGCAATAACGTTCTTTGATTGGCCGAATATTATCTGGTGAGACAATAGCTCAGATGAGAGCTCTTGTCTGCGATAGAATGAGTAGTGAGAATGTTCCTCAGCCTCTCAAAGCAGGAAGCTCAGCTTGTTCCCCTTGCGTCTGTGGCAGGCTTTGGAAAAATAATTGAAAAATGATAGCAGTAGAAAGAAAGGTATGTGTTTGTTTGTCAAAAACATGATTTGTTGGTTTGTTTTTATAATTTGATGTTTAAATTATATATAATTTGATTACAGGATGAACCACCACCACCTTCCCTACCTTCATCATCTCCTCCTGTACAACCTACAGTATCACCAAAAGTTGAAACTTCACAACCACCAGCAGCTATTCAACCACAACTATCACCAACTGTACAATCATCAGAATCTAAATCACCAGATAACACCACACCATCACCCTCTATAGATGCTACAGATATTAAGGTGAGGTTAAACTGGTATATTTAGATTATAGTGTCCACTGTTGCGGTTTATTGTGGATGCTTTTCAGACACCAGAAGCGTACCAATGTGATTTTATTGAAAATATTTTTCATATTACATGAATGGTTATTTGATTTTATTTATCGTATCATGAAATAAAATATAAAATAGATCTGATGTTTTCAATTGTATATTGCAGATGAGTCCAAAGACTGTTTTAGCTCATAGAAAATCAGGAAGTGTTGACAGCACGTCATCATCAGACCATTTCACCTCAAGTGACCTTAGAGTGATGCCATCACCACCATCCTCACCGCGTACAATGTCACCAGGATTATCAATGTCACCTGGTATGTCACCATTAGCCTCACCAAGTTTAATGAGAGGATCATGGTTAAGTGGTATTGATATTATACCACAAACATATGAAAAAACAATCAAGGTGAAGAAAGGAAATGACCAATTAGGTGAGATATTTTTAGTTCTTCAAATTATTATAAATATAAGTCGCTCCTTTTTATTTTCTGGGTTTGTGTTGATCAACCTTGCCCGTTAATTTTTTTTAGCCTTTTTATCCATCCATAGTGATCAATATTCAAGGCCAACATCAGTATTAGGTTAAAGGGACAGGCCCGCCATTCATTTGACCAATCGTACCTTAGGAATTTGTTAGCTTATCTAATTAGTAATAGTGTTAACAGCTTACTGTCGAAATTTGAGCATTCAAATCCATATTTGTCCAGATTCATCTGTGTTCAGAAGTTAAAAAGACGACTGGTGTTTTCTTGAGACTGACAAATATATATAAAAAAGACATAGAAATAGCAAGTGAAGCTTTTAGTTTGAGGTATTTTCAAAGGATTTTTGCGATTGTGTACATCTCTTGTACTTCTGATGAATATTTACATATTCAAGGATTATGTACATCTTTAGTACTTCTGATGACTATTTACAGCCTTGAATATGTAAATAGTCATCGAAAGTACTAGAGATGTTCATAATCTTGAATTTCAAGGTCCAAAATCAACCCCTAAATATGGTAAATCTGTCTCATTAATAGATATTGAAAATTTTTGTGGATTTCCATTGGATTTTTCAATGGATTCTTTGGTAATGATAAACCTGATACAAGATAATCAGTAGTTTGTAAAAGAATATAACTTTGTGTTCAAAGTCAGACAATTTTATCACCTTTCCATAGAAAATCAATTTATAGAAATTTTCTGTATGTTTTTTACAGGAATTACTGTAGAATCTGTAGATAAAGGTGCTAATGGAACTATTATAAGGAATGTAACCAAAGGTAGCGCTGTGGCAAAAGATGGCCGTCTTATACCTGGTGATTATATTGTTTCAATAAACAACGAAAGTATGAGAAAAATAACTAATGCTCAAGCTCGAGCTATATTACGGAGGGCATCATTACTCAGCACTGACATCAGGTAGAGTTTCTTTAATTTACCTCTAGATATGCCAATATTTACTTTGAATTAAGTACAACAAAAAACACAAGGAGTATATTATGGTATAACTCACTTCTTTAATAACAAGAAGTGAGTTATACCATAATATACTCCTTGTGTTTTTTGTTATATCTACTCCCCACTTCTAAATGTCGTTCAAATCTTATTTGAATTAAGTACATTTAGGTATTTTGTGGAATAGGACTAAAAAGAACTCTAAAGATCTAATAGCTACTATCAGTTCATATAGACATACTGTACTGAAAATACAGCTCAACTTTTGTATCTAATGTAATGGTTCAAAGCATATCTTTCTAAGCTTTCATGATTATATATTGGTGCAAGATTTCATATTAACACTGTGGATATCAGATACATAAAATTTGCAAAACGAATGTACTAAACATATAGTGATAATAACTGACTGAAGTATATTAGCTTATAGCTTCAAGTAAATCTCATAGATATTGTTTTTTCCACTTCGACTTCTGTACTTTTATAATGATGATATCTTCATGAATCATACACTTCCTTGAAAAAAAAGTCATTTAAATGCCTTTTTTATTTCAACCCTTTGAACACTGAGTGTTAATAGAATGAAATGTCATTTTAACTCAAAATGTATGATTCTAATATTATTGAGTGATGTAATGACTGCTTCACTGGCCCGCTCAGGTATAATGTATGTTACAGTACAGCTGCTACTAGTGATGAAAGGGTTAATTGAGTTCTCTAAAGTACCTAGTTTAAAAAGTAATTGTGTTATGAAGTCAAATTGAATGAAATTATGAATTTAGACAGGGATTGATATTTGATTATGATCTGACACTCTAGACGTGACAGAGTAACCTATTTCTTCTCTCAAGTTTCTATTACTAACATACTAACCTTATGTTCAATTTGATAACACTGAAACCTCCTAATAATCACTTTATCAAGCACTACAACTGTTAATACAGGATTTTCTTGTGAAACTAGTGTCATTACGTTTTGTTTTACACATGAGTTTAGTATTTTGCACAGAAAATCATTATAACTTGGAAATATTATTTCACAAGATCATTCTGATCATTTGAGAAATATAATAACAACAAGAAAATCATTATTTTTATATTGAAATATTAAAGAGAATATATTTCAACCTGAGCCCATGTTGCAACTATTCACAAAAAAGCACTTACTCTTATTAGACTGTCTGTAGACATTATTGAGAAATCAGTTTTGATTATGCCTGCTTATGGCGGCCAATCAGTTGTCTTCAAATTCAAAATCAAGTTAATGTGTTAATTGCCCTAGATATCTTTAAAGCATAGAGATTTGAGATTGATAGAATAATGTTTAAAACAACAGATTAGAATCTGGTTGATGCACAATGTCAGTCTATAGTTATGATTTGTTCAGTATCTTTTTATGTTGGTCAGAATTTGAGAAAGTGTTGTACCTCTGTTTGATTTTGACTGATTTTCGTAAAACTTAAAAATGTAAGTTGTTTTGATGACTGCATGCTGAAATGTTCATAGTATTTGGCAGCAGTCAATTTATACTTTCATATTACTCTGGATAATTTATAATGAATATCGACAGATTCAAACCCTTAAATATTTATATGACAGTCTTTAGCTAGAATTCTTTAAACTGAATCATATCAGAATGAATATCAGGATTCTGTAGAAAGAAATGTCAGTAGTAGAAGATGTTCAGAATATAATCAACTTCCAGGAATCTGTAGATTTTATAATATAAACAATGGTCATTAAGATACGTGTCAGTAGAAGCAGACATAATTCATTTAGCCCCAATAAGACATGCTAGAATTGCTTTCAAATTACTTGGCTTGACCAATCTACTGAGTTCCCCCACGAGGCAGTCTTATTACAAGCAGAAGATTTTACACCACCAACTTTCTACACTTACAGCTTTACTAGAGAGTGAAGGTATTGATTTTCACACCAGCCAGAAAATGGTGGCATGAAGTTTGGCAAGTCTATAGTTGATATACAGATCATGTAATCAAAAGTGACTAAATTATGTTGGGAATAAAAAGATGGAGTACATGTCATATCCTTTTATAGTGTGCTCAGTATTTTTAAGGATTTACTATGGAGGGATATAGTTTGTTATTGTTTCATATTAACTGGTAGTATTTGATTGATGAACAGAAAGGAAATAAACTATGATATTAATATAGGAAGAAAGTGGGATATTTTAGCTTATATAGGATTAATTAATTAGATATATTGATTACATCTCAATATTAACTCTCCTGACATAATCTACTAGATCCCGGTATTTGTATTAATTTGACGCTTGTCTGAATTTTTGGTATCCTTAATTCTTGATTTTATCCTGAATTCTCACTTCAAAATCAGTCTATACCAGATCTTTTTTTTTTGACCATTATATCAGGGCAATCTATGTAAAGGTATGTTTCATCTTAATTGAATTTTATATCTTTGTGCGGAAAATTTGTTCATTTAGTGCATGCATTCTTGATATCACATTTGAAGTGTGTATAATAAGAGTACAACCTTAGACCATTTTCAGTTCAACTAATAATATTCACTTATTATGTAATTTTTTAGCGGGTATTTTAAAATGATAATAAGATATTGAGATAATTGTATTATTATTGCAATGACTATTGAGAGACATTTTCTTCTGAAATCTACTGATTGTGCTAATGATAAAGAAAAGTTATATATGTATTCAAGATGGTTTTATCAGAGGTTTACTGTTGTATATTTAGTCAGTATAATTTGTTAATTGATACTATCTTTAAAATCTAGAACTTGAAAGTAAAATTATACACGTTACCTCAAATTCTATATAGCTAACTAACTTTATCTTGATACCACCAATTCTAACATCTCGTCATTTCATTGAAGATCACTTTAACCTTTCAATATATTAAAAACTAGTGTGTATACTGGAGGAAATGCCAGAATTTTGTCACATTATTGATTATTTACAGAGAATAATGACATTTTATCAGAAATTTTAATCCAATTCCATTATTGTACATTTAACAGTTCTACTATCTTAATTGCATATCTCATGAAATATAAGGAAGTCAGATTCCTACAGTATTTTTATTTAAACAAGAAATCCTGTAGCTAGATAAAGAAGTATTTTGTATTTTTGGCAAATTGCTCAAATTGTAAAATTACAGTATATTCACACATCATCAGAGCAGTCATTCATATTGGTAAAAAAGATTGAGTGAAATTTGGTGAGGACTGGAGAAAATATTAAGATTGAGTGATTATTTATTGGGTTTAAGAAATCTATGGAACTTCTGATTGCTATAGACAACTGATATATATATATATGTTTTTCTAGACAACTGTCTACAGCAATTAATGGCATTTGAAAAATTCTCTTGAGTCAGTGTGGTAAAATAATTTACAAACATTCTTAGATGAGAGTGAAAAAGGTTTATATTATGTTCTTATTGGTATGAAATAATGAGTGGTTTATTATTTGATTATTTCAGTGTAACTTACATATCAGGACCAGATGCAGCGAATCATCGTGAAACCATGAGTAACCAGGGTGCAACATCTAGTCCTTCTCATCATTCCAGTATGCCTTCTCCAAAGTAAGTTTTTAAGTAGTAACTCATTTTTATATGTTTGCAGCAATTATGCTTGTCAGTCAGTCATCGGTTCATATTTGATAGTAAACTCTCTTGAATATACAGTTTTTAACTGACTTTGATGATGGAATGTTAAAAATGTTGTGATTTTCAACTGATTTTCATAACATATGGTCTGCAGGTATAATCTTAATTGGAGGTATATGTTGAAATTCAACAAATTTGGAACATTTTCGTAATTTTTCCAAATTTGAATGAATCTTTTTTTTATCAGTTACATGATTAAATGACTGTTCCTCTCTTTGTCACAAATTCTGTCATTGAGCATTATATTGTTGACCCTATTTGTTATTTTAGAATCAAACTTTTTTTTATTGTCTGCATAGTGGTCTTATGATTTCAGAATGCTTGCAATATTTTGACAATTAACATACTTTCAATAACATTGATAGTGTTTCTTCCTCTTCATCTCTCTTGATATGTTTTCTAGCAGGCTTTAGTTCTAAAGTCAGCGTGTATTTCATCATTAATTTGCATATTTAATATTGTGCTGGTGTTTTCTACTGAGAAATTACAGGCTACTTTTTAATTATTGCTATATTTAAAACAGGATTATTCCTTTAAGTGTGGATATGCTGACAAAGTGAAAAAATATCTAGTCTAATTACTTTCAAGTTTCAATTTGTGCTGAGTTGCAATTTCGAAAGAATTCGTGTAAGAAATTTGGAAGTAAATTTGAATATAGAAGGAAATGAAGAGATGTTGTGGTATTATTTGAAAGAGTTCTGGTAGAATATTGATCTCCTAGCTAAATTACACGCTACAATTTAAAGATATTTGTCAAACTTTAATCTTATCATACATTGATTTTATTGATGAGAAAACTTCAGACATGGTTGATTATATTGATTATAAAAAAATAATATTCTATCCAGTATGATGGACTAGGATTAATATAATAGAGGTTTATTGTGGAAGATTTTAATAGTGTACTTGACCTAGTCCTCAAATTCTATTGTATCACACTTACATGAATGTGGTCGGTGCCAGATTTTAATCAAAGTCACAGACACTGATATTATTTGCTGAAATGATTTTTTTTCTGAGCTTTCCTTGATCCGATTTTTTTTATTATTGCAAAGCAAACATTTTACTGTATCATTGATAAAATAGTTAAGCTTGTACAAAATGTCTAACTCTAAATCCATATTCATAGTAAAGACACTAATATTTGACAAGTTCATGATAATTTGAATAATCCTAGACTGCCAGGGATTTCTAAGAGTAAATATATTGTTTTAGAAACAACAACAGTTTTAAGTCTGTTTGTGGACATGTCTCTCCAGAAACAGTCTTTGAACATTATTATTAGATCTTAAGTTAATGAGATGTTTTTTTCTTAATTTCAGTCCATCATTATCACCATCATCAGCTATGCTTGTGTCTTCCCCTCCCTCCTCCCCATTAAAGGTTGTGTCTACTTCAACATCATCACCAACACAAATTTCAACAACTGATGTTATATTAGATGATTTAAACCAACAGATATCACCCCGACAAAAATCATTAAAAGCAGATGGATCACCCGCAGTACAAGCGTGGGGTTCACCAAGATCTGTAGAATTAATAAGGGAACCTGGTAAAAGTCTTGGAATCAGTATTGTTGGTGAGTTCTCAGTATAATATTATTAATGCTGTGATTCAAGACCATCATGAATCTTGTATTATTGTATATTGTATTTGTATTCTAGCTAGTTGTATTCTTCCTATTAAAATTGTCAATGATTGATGTTCTACACCATCGACTCGTTCACAAACACAACAATTCAAAAATATTCAATGACTTAGCATCTATTCTAATACTTTTATTTGTGATATGGTTTGTAGGTGGTCGAGTGGATATGTTTAATTTATTAGAAGATCATACAATATCTGGTATCTTTATAAAACATGTACTGGAAGATAGTCCTGCTGGCAGGAATGGTACTTTAAAAACAGGCGATAGAATTCTAGAGGTAAATTATTATCTTTAGTCTAATTCATAAAGCATTTACCTTTCTATACCAAATGGTTACAATTTGAACATGTTCAATGTGAGATAAGAAGTTGTGTTGAATTAAAAAAGAGTTTTAAGCAAAATCATTGTACTGTTTAGTTTTTGTAAGATGTCATGATGAGATGTAAGATGAGGTTATTAACCTACATGTACTATTATTAAAAAGTCCTAGATTGACATGTATTATGGTTGGTTATTGAAGGTGAATGGAGAAGATGTACGCAATTCAACACACGATGAAGCAGTAGAAGTAATACGCCATGCCACCTCACCAGTAACCTTTGTAGTTCAAAGTCTTTCTGATTCTGCTTGTGTAAGTTTTCTTGACCTTTTATAAATGCGATAAAATCAATATGGAAATGTTGAATTACAAGTTTAAAAGTTGTTTACTTATAACTTAGGAATGTACTAAGACACAAAACCATATCCAAAATGGCAACAAAGAAAATATACAAGAATTAAAATGCCAAATCTAAGAAATTTGAGTGAACATTTTGTATGAATTCATACAAAATTGGTGACCTTTGAATTCTTTCTACTCTGATATTGAGAGTAATGAACTTTAAATTTTATGACTGTAAAAGATGTTTTTTACTGAACTAAAACCAGACTACGTGCAGAGTTTAATAATGTGAAATCAATTGAAATAATTCCAGTACTTATAACATCAATGTTAAGTGTTCTGAGCTTACTTATTGGCAAAGGAATTTACTTTCCTTTTACATTGTGTTCATTCAGTCCAATGTACACATGAGCCATCAGCTTAATTAGAATTTATTCATATAATTTTCCTAAAGGTGATTGTATCCGAATAGAAGAAAATTTATGTCATATTTCTTAATTTAAAAATCAACATAGTTTGATAATGTCAGTCTCAAATGATCAAATGCTTGTGTGTGCTGGAAACAAATACTTCTGAGTAGAGTTATATTTCTTTATGCATGAGTTAGATTTGATTTGCAATGATTGACCAAAGTTTCACATAAATTTATCAGAGCACGAAAACTGATGGCTTAAGTGTGTCCCCATCTTTCAGTGAGTTACATATGACATTGAAAAAGCAGTTACAATGCAATACTATCTTTGCTTTAAAACTTCACTTTAAGATGGAAATAGTTTGGTCTTGTTCTAATCAATAAACTATTCCAGAGTTTGAGAAATTTACTACTTGTAACAGCCAATGTCACTGTAATTGAACATGGCTGATGTAAAAAATGACTATTTTAAGATTATTTTATCCTGAAATCTTAAAAAAATCATTATTATTGCTTTTAGAATATTCTTAAAAGATTACTAGTTGACCTTATGCACTAAATGTTATGTAGATTTCTTAAACTATAAGAGTGTATGGCCAAAGGAAATTCAAAATATCTGTCTATACTCTATTTGTCCATTTTGACAAAAGATAGTTATACACATGATTCAAAACATAAACAATAGCACATTAAGTCTATTTTGATTCAATTTTAGCCATATAAATCAAGATTATATTGTGTTCATAGCTCTACTATGCACTATACAATTGATAAAAACAACCAGTTTTGAACATTTTTTTCTATTTTATACAGCCTGGTGATTTAGAAGCAGCAGAAATCAAATCTGTTCATTCCTTTGAAGAAAGTCATCAAAGTGTCAGTGCTACCAGTAGTACAACTCAAGCTCAATCTACCCAGAAACCTTCAGTGGTAAGATATCACTCTTATCCTAAACCTCCTTTCAGTTGATTGGTCAATTTAATTTAAATTTAATGTTATTGAACAATCAGATTACAGAATTTGTTAAGACCGAAAAAATTTGTGAACCTTATAAATGTCAATCCTTAATATTAGCTTTCGATTATATGATACTGACTACAATATTACTATTACAGATAGAAGCTACAACAATAGTCTCTTCAACATCAGTACCCATATCATCAACAACACCACAAGAACCATCAACATCTAAAGAACAACAACCATCAACATCTAAACAACCTGTAGAAGCAGAAACTTATAGTGGTGAAGAAGATGAGTTTGGTTATTCTGAAAGTAAGTTTAATTTATTATCCATTATTATTTACATTTATTTTTTTAGCTTTTATTTTTGATATAGCACCTACAGTTAGGATCTAACGACAGTCCTCTTGAAATTCATCAAATTTACCTAAATCAATTACACCTGCTTTAACCAATCAAATTTTCACCCTCTCCAACGCTAGTTAGGTCAAAAGGTTAATTTGACAAACGTTCAAGAGGGTTATATAAAAAGTAAAAGCTAAATAATAAAACGAAACGAAATTTTGGTCTAGTTCTAAATTAAAATGTCAACAACATGATGTCATCTTTGTGTTAATTAGGAACTGTAGATTTGTTTATTTTTGTTTGTATATTTGATGGCTAGATTATCTGGATCTTTATACCTAATAATTATTATTGAAAATTTTTATTTTTTTATCAATTTTAAATTCATTGATATTATTTACCATATCACAATTTTCTATGTTTCATGGGAATCTTCATAATGTCAACATATTACATCCTTCGGCTTATACCTTGACGCCAATAGTCGCTTTTCTTGTATCATGTAAATTCAGTGATTTGATTTGATTGTACCCCAGCAATTACAACCAATCAGAGCCCATTGACAGAAAGACTGTTAACATTATGGCTTAATGTTTACAAACTTTTTGTCGAGGCCTCTGTTTGACTGTGTACAATCTTATCAAATCGCTGCATTTCCAAACTTCCATGATACAAGAAAGGTGTCTATTGCAATCAAGGTAGAAGCCAAAGGTCGTAATAGCTTGACATTGTATAGGTGGGACATAGGCTGATCTACAAACCCACAAATACAAACCCCCATGAATAAGAACAGTGCTGGAGACATTCCACTTAGGAATTAATCTATTGAGAAATTGTCTGCTTACAACAAAGGTTTTGAAGATTTGACTAAAGTTAGGTTAATGGAAAGTAGTTGGGATTGTGGTGATGATTGATAAAGTATCTTTTAGATTTAACTTTCCATACCATTGTGTTTATTTCATACATTCTGACCTATTCTTTATAAGTCTTCAAATACTTTATCTTTAAACTTAATAAACCCCATCCAAAATTTGAAATCCTTGGTCTGCCAATTCCAAAAACTTGATTTCTTTTGGCTTGAAAGCTAATTAAGGATATTGATGTGTTATTGATAATGGATTTCCTTACATTGAGAATATCGTCTAAGTGCCTCATTTATTCTCAAATGTCAAGGATTGAAATTGTCTCCCACACTTTACTGAACTTTCTTAAATCAATCTTATTCTTCCCTCTCTTTCTTACTTGGTAGTGTTTGCTTTATACCTGGTCTTTTGTTAAAATCTAGAATGGCCAGGGGAACCAAAGACTTAAGAATATTCTCTGTCTACATTTTAACTCTTTAGTCTAGGTTGAGGAAATAGATAATGAAATAAATCTGATTCATTGTTATATTATATGCTGCCTCTATTTTTCTCATTCACTGGCTGTTATTAACATTGGTGTTTGTAAATAATTACTCTTACTAATTGGTATGTTACTATTTGTTTGCCTCATCTTCAGATCAATTCAAAATAATATGTATATTGTATATTCTTATCAAAATATTAAAACAGTACCTAAAATGAATTGTTTATCACGTCATTGTGTGGCCTTCAGTGAGTCTGATTTTATTCAAGCTCTGTTTTGGAATATCTTTTCTTCTTCTATTCTTATGAATGATTACATTGCACCCAAATTATGCCCTAAAATCTGTTTATTCTTAAAGTCATGCTCTAAATAAATGTATTTGCGAAATTTTTATTTCTTGAAGCTGAATGAATAAATCTGGTTCATCTTCGTTTCGTGTTTTTGGTCAGTTGAATTCAAGGATGCAATAGAATTCTTATTACTGTGATGGAGAAAACATCAAACATCAGTAGCACCAGACTTCTTGATTGGTCTTGTTGGTCATAGAAGTTCAATAAAAAAAATCATGCCAATCAATATTTTAGTTATTGAATCAGTTTGTGTCTCAATAACCCCCTTGGTAAGGATAAAGATGCTACATTTCAACAAGGAAATAATAACAAAACTTGGTCAGTGCAAATGAATATTTTGGTTCATGAATCTGGCCCTTGATTATTGTATTATTGTTAAAGAGTGAAATAAATTGATTTGTTATATAACATAGATTGCCTTCAAACTGTAACTTTTAGTGCTAGTAATGTTGGTAATGAATTTATTAACATGAAAGGTTATTCCCATTAAGCTCCCTCTCATATTTTATATAGTCTAAAAACCTTGACTTTTATCTTCAGACTGTGTCTGCTTAATTATCTATACTGATATTTACTTGTAATCAACATAATGTTTAACTTTAGTTATGTTCTACAAGTCATAAATCACACACTATATACACTTGATTATACAGTATTGATACATTCCTGTCATTCTGGAACTCTACAAGACTAATAGTTATAGCTTCCTGTACTGGCATTATATAGAGCACTAGATTGAGTATTTATCACTGAAAACTGACTATTATTTCTTTTAACCCATCAATTTTATACTACTACATATTACTCAAGTGAATTTAGGTCATTTGCAAACTGTAAAAAAATTCATTTAGAACAATTTACTTTTAAGTCAGAGAATATATATTTTTTTTGTGGTCAGATTTAGACTATGTTGCAAAACACTTATAAAGTTTTATTTGCTTCATGTGTATTTCAGAAAGTTTTTCAGCATTGAAGAAGTGATTTTCCTTCATTGAAGAAGTGATTTTCCTTCGTATTAAATATTCATGACTAACTTCTGCAAAGAAAATTGATTTACATGCTTTAAGGGATTGTAAGGGGGTTTTTCTAAATTTTTATTTGTGTCGAATGGACACTGATAGAATCAAATTGCACCTTTCCAATTTTCAGTCGGACATATGTGGTTCTGACAATTCCACAAAAATTAAGTGTTTGATGAATTCATTAATCGCTAAATATGCATTTTCACATTAGGCCCTTCGTAATAAGTGACCTCATCAGACAATTTTTGTGGAATTGCCGGAAACGCAGACATCTGACTGAAAATTAGAATGATGCAAATTGATGTTATCATTGTCCCTGATACACATGAAATTTTTAGAAAACCTCTTTACAATCCCTTTAATATCCAATATAGTAAAAATCTTACAGCCTTGTAAAAAATCTATATTTTAATATGTGTTAGGTACAAGTTATTGAGTGTACAATCATATACATATAATGAATAAAGTATTTATGAATATAGTATTCTGTATAATTAGTGAGATATTAATCAAGATTGATTATATAACATGTTGTTTCTAAATGCTAATTACCTGCAATTAGTTCAAGTATTTTCCAAACATGACCTCAAAATTCAGTACAGAACACTTAGGCTGAGTATTTATTTGAATACCTGAAGTGGTGGTCTGCCATTTATTTACCATCCAAAATATTTAGACTTCAAAAGTAATTCTAATTAAATTTTATGTTTTCTTCCAAAATAGTAGTATTTTAATTACATGTGTTCCCTATAGACAAGACCATCCAATACCTACTTCAAATTGGGATAAATGATAGATTGGCAGATATGAGGTAGAATTGAAAAAAAAATTGGGCAAACTCTTCTGGTCTTTGCATATTTTACTTTTTTATTTCACTTCACTATTTTATTTATTTTGTAATCTCTGCACCCCTATATTTCAGTAGTATATAATTTATACAGAAGACAAAAATCTAGCATTATTCGATAAATTTGAGGAACCATTAATGAACTTCAGGGAATAAGGGGATTGTACCTCATGAAATTGATTTATGATCAAATTACAGCTATTTTTTGCAGTTCAATTTTATTTTGATGAAATTTAGCAAATAATAATACTCAAACCAGTCTTGGAAGACAAGTAGAGTTTAAACACAGAACACAGCGCAGTTTATTGTTATTAGTCTTGACCGAATATTACAGCCTTTGAATTGATTGAACATGAAGAAAGCAAAGATTCTTGACATTTAACCAATTCTCTTGTGTATATTGGATGACAGTGAATTGGGACTATCTTATGACTGTTTACTATCAAATCATTCCTCAGAAAAGATGACATGGTACGTTTAAAGAATTGCTGATGAAGCAATCTCTCTGATCCTCTCTAATATAGTTTGATTATTGGAGAATATCAAATCTTAGATTGTCTTGTGGCAGACAGCGTGAAAGTCAACTCACGCATTATCATGCAAATTCACCCCAGGAGGTCACAAGACATAAAAATATCACTGCATGGATTTGTCATTTTCTTTATGACAGATGGAATCATTTTCTGATAGTGTAGTTCCTGAAGGTTTATCCCGGGAGTGGTTTTCTAACCATATTTCTCAGTGCCAGTAAGATTGGTTTGGGCACTTTGTTGTGATTTTTCTGCCATTTAGATTTGGAAAATCAATAGTGTACATATACTGCTGTATGATATTGAGTTAGAGAGTAGAAGGATATGTACCGTCTGCTAGATGTCTGTAGGAAGGATATTATATTTCCATATAAAGTTTTATTATTGGAATGGAATTAAAAGGAATTCTGTCACAATAGGTAAATGCTAGGAAGTGAACATGATAAAATAAGGAATTTGTTAATCCATTATGGAAATATTGACAAATAAAGGTAGGAATTGAATTATTGTTTACATTTGTTTTTTTTTAAAAATGATCTGATTACAAGCATGTCTTTTAGGTCTTTTGAAGGTGGCTCAGTGAATTGAACATCAAAGTCATCAGATTTGATGTCTCCCTACCCTGTCCATTATCTGTCATAGTAAAATATCCTTCACTGCACACCACAATGCATTGTCAGTCTTCATATACTTTCATTTTTGACATTTTCAAAGTAAATTTGAAATTTGTTATTCTATCTGTTAAATTAGGCAATGTGCTTGCCATGCATTGTATATAATTTTTGATATAGTGAATAGTTTTTTTAACGATATTTTTTTGATCTTGTTTGAAATTGAGTACATTAGAACTTAAGCATTTATGTCAAAGGATGTTAGCTGCTCAATGAACTAATTGTGTTTTATTGTGGGACTTTGCTGAAAGTTTGTTATCGAAATGTCAATTCTTTTTTTTTTT